ATATCAAATAGCAGGCGTTTTGATGGTTATCATTAGCCCTTTAGTTGACTTCGGGCTTCACACAGGGGAAGGAACATCAAAGTGAAAGAAAGTCGAGAGGGGTGGGGAGGGAACAGAAGTGTTTCAAAGACGAAGGTAGAAAGGTAGAAAAGAGGTGAGGTAAGTACTGTGGAAGGGGTCGAATAGGACATACATTGGGATCATGGCAGTTTGAAGTCAGAAGTCAACTACCGGTCTATAGACTTTTTCGCCGTATAAGTATACGTTGCCCAGGGTGCACCACGTGGAGGTAAGTCTATCGCACACCCCGAGTCACTTCTAATGATTTTATGCCGCCAGGTAAACTTCTCACTATATTCTTTCCTTTCCCTAAGCTGTTATTTACACGATTAATTCCTTATTTTAAAGTACTGTTGAGTGAATTTCCATGCAGCATTCTTAAAAATGTCAGTGTGGAGTAAATTGAGCTCTGAAGGTGGCGTAATTTCTAAAGTACAGCGTGTTAACACACATCTGACATACGATCCAATACTTTCTGTCCCTATATTGGTACAGTCACATTTATCACCTACGATGCAATTGTAGAATATTTGGTTTATCTCCACTAGTAAAGTTCATTCCCTATCGATCATTAATAATATTATTCTTAAGTGAGGTGCGAACAGAGGCTAATAACAGTCTATATGGAAGAGCACAATTCTTCGTTTTACATAAATGCAGTAACGAAGGGAGAATAGTCTCATTTGAATATTTTTGATCTGATCAGTAATGACAGCAATGCAAATCTCTCCATGTTTATGAAACTCCACCTTCCAACCATATATTGTTTAACCTTTTGTAGACACTTTTACAATACCGTCATTTGATTTTCCTACTCACCCACTACTGGCCATCCATCACGCAAGACACCATTTGAATCAAACTCCCTAAATTTACACGAAGGAACAAATCGGAACACGAATTCATGCCAATATTTTAAGCGTAAACTTCTCTCATTGGATTCCAAGACATTCTTCAAGCTCATTTTGGGTTGTGCCAAAAAATAAGACTTAAACCCGAACTGAAATATCGAAGTGCTATTCTCATGGTAACAAATTAACTATCTAAAAGTTCTTACCTTGATCAGCCTATCAAAAATAGGTGAACTGTCTTAATGAGTAAACATCGTGGAAAAATTTTAACTTAGCAGTTTTCACTTGAGCTGATATAAATATTCTTAAAATTTGAAAATATTCTTAACATCTGTACTTGTAAGTGAAACGTCGCGACAAATTTTAATATTGGTATAACGTTTTATTTCTACATGTTTCTTTTTTTCTGTTATTTATTTTACGAAGTGCAATAAATGAGACGAAAAGTAGTTCCAGAGAAGATTAGCTCAACGTCCGATGGTGCTGAATCAACTTTGATCAGCGGAACTGAAGGTGTATCGAATCCTGCAGAGCCAGAGCCTTCCGAAGTACATCAAAATGAGCTCTTTGAAGAAAATCCAGATGAAGAAGATGTTTATGCTTTTGTAGATGAAGATGAAGATGAGGCTAATCCTCATGGTGTAGAGGAGGTGGTCGGGGTGGAAGAGGTGGAAGAGGTGGAAGAGGTGGAAGAAGTGGAAGAAGTGGAAGAAAATCCAGTGGTGCAAAGAAGAAATTCGGCAAGAATTTCGAAATTGTCTGAGACACAGACAAGTCAAGACGTCTCTTCCAAAGGGCCTCAAAATAATCAATCTGCTGGTGTTGGCCGTGGTCGTGGACGCAGATTCAAAAAGACAGCATCAAAAAGGCCAATACAAACTCCTACCAGTACATCAAATAAAGCGCAGAGAACTCCACTTCGGGTGAGCAATACAAATAAATGGAAAGCGCCCAATAAAACCCCACATTTAAAACACGAAAAGGAGAATGCAGATAAGAAGAAGAAGAGAAGAAACCGCAAAAAAAGACCCGATCCTCCCAATAACTTGATTTTTGCCGGAAATTCAATGAAAAGCCCACTTTTACCGCACATCAAGTCTCTACTCAATGGCACCAGAGGATTAGTGGTGGTAAAGAAGGGTGAATTCACTGTCAAGCGCATGCCCAAGGAGTCCTTTGCCTTAATGGTGAACCGTTTATCCAAATCCAAATTCGAACTCAAATCGGCCAATTTGCAGACGCCTGTTGGTCTCTATAGTACAACCTTGATGTTGAAAGAAACGACAGTGCCTATGAGGACTGGTGCGACAAATGCTGCAAATATGAATAAGCCCAGGAGTAGTGATTCATCCGTGAAAAGACTCAGATCCGCTGAAAGTGGAATCTCGAATTCTCAGACTCCAACAAGATCCAAGGTCCCAGCAAAGACCAAAACCCCATCAAGGCCTAATACCCCTTCAAGAAGTAAAACCCCATCAAAGCCTATTACCCCTACTAGATCTAAAACCCCATCAAAGCCCAATACCCCTTCAAGGTCAAAAACTCCTGCAAAGTCTAATACCCCTTCAGGGTCTAAGACTGCGGCAAGATCTCAGACTCCAGCAAAATCCAAAACTCCAGCAAGATCTAAAACACCAACAAAGTCTAATACCCCAGTAAGGTCTAAAACTGCAGGAAAGTCCAAACCCTCACTCCAATCGCGTAAATCTAATCAAGGTTTCAAAGCCCCTGGTAAACAAAGAAGAACGCTAAACAGGGGAAATAGAAGATCCACAAGAAGTAGAAGCAATAGTACCAGAACAGCTTAGAAAAGTAAACTTTCACATTTTCCCTCTATGTATGATTCCCAGATTTTATTTCCCAACTTGATTATCACCTGCCTATCGTTATTGTAATTTTTCTTATGTATTTTTGTACTAGATGGTATTAAAATAGTGCTCGAAATATGCGATAGAGATTGACTTCATTGAATATCTTAATTATCTGAATTTGGATTAGGTATTTTAGCGATTAGGAGTAGATGAGGATTGTGGCATATCACTTGTCGAAAGCATTCAATTGAAAGAATTGGAAGGAAGCTGAAATCGGGTTATCTCTTGTTTGGGAATTTATCAGAACCCCCAGTTAAGTTTGTCCCCCAAAGTATTTGACGTATATAGAAACCAAATTTTCATGATACTTTGTCTGGATTGCTTGCAGCGATATACGTACCGGCCTGTTCTTCTGCCTCAAATTTATTGTTTATCCAAATGCATTTGTTGGGCATGATGGCAACCCGTTTGCGGCATCTTCGCACTACCAACAATAACATAATTCATTCAAGATTATGCCTGAAGGATTGCGATTAAACATGTTGTTATTGGGTGTTATATTAACAATTAGGAAGACAGTTATAACAATTGAGCCAGGAATAAGCGCTGACTCGGTTTCACCCTATCGGTTTTCCACTTGCACTTTCGATGTACCAATACACAAGATGTGGTGAAGTTTGCAGCAACCAATTCATTACTATTATTGTTTGTACTAATACTACTAGTAATAAAATAAAATTTAAGTAAGTGAGCTCAGTTGGAGGAAAATTCAATAAATTTAACCACCACTGAATTGAAAATAAAGATGCTCGGGGCAATTTCGGTGTATCAAAGAATCTCACTAAGGTTGCTTTCGGCTTCCGGCCCACAGTATTTACTGAATGGGCAGTTCAGTTGCCCTGGATTTTATTCACTTGACCACAGTCCACTTTAGGTCACCTGATTTTGACTCATTTTGAGCAATTCAATTAAGTACAGTTTAATTTATTAGTATGCTCACAAATTTCGGTCAGTACAAATTTCAGTTTCCCAATCTTTAGCCTAGCACATGAATTTTGTTCAATTTGCAATAGTTAGGAACTTTACTCGGTTAAGAATCATGAAATTAGCAATTTTAAAATGTATTTGGCGAATGGTGGTAGCTAGAGTATCCTTAAGCAAAATGCAATTTTATAGCTTTTATTAATTTTATAAATTTTATCATTTAATGTTAGTAGTAAAAAGGGTGTCAGGAACCCAACGCCAACCTGGCTGAACCAAGGCATCACATGCACGCTCGAACATTATGGCATGGGGGGTGTGCGATAGACTTACCTTCACGTGGTGCACCCTGGGCAACGTATACTCATACGGCAAACAAGTCTATTAATCGGCAGTTGACTTCTGACTTCAATTACCATCAAGTCTATCAACCGGCAGTTGACTTCTGACTTCAAACTACTAACACCTCACTCTATGCCATATTCGACTATTTCCACAGTAGCTCACCCCACTGTATGTCATATTCGACCCCTTCCACAGTACGCCACCACCCCACTGTATGTCATATTCGACCCCTACCACAGTACTAACCCCACTGAATGCCGTATTCTACCACTTTTACAGTATCCATCACCCACACTGTATGTCATATTCGACCCCTTTCAAAGTACTCATCTTACTTTAACGGTACAAGTCTATTAACTGGCAGTTGACTTCTCACTTCAAACTAACAAGTCTATTAATCGGCAGTTGACTTCTGACTTCAAACTACTAAGACCCCATTGCATTTCATATTCGATTAATTCCACAGAACTCACCTCAACTTTTTTCTACCTATGTATCTTACGTCTGTGAATCTTTATTCTGTCCCCCTCTCGACTTTTTGTCACTTTGGTGTTCATCTTCCCCTCTGTGAAGCCCGAAGTTAACTAAAGGGCTAATGATTCTTATCATAACGCCTACCATTCGAATTCACATTCTGGCATGGATGCTGTGCTAGTGATCCTGCGAGGTACCCCCTGATCGCGCTTGAAACCAAGTGCTGTCGAGAGTGAAGAGACCTCTCAACCAACCAACCAGCATTAAATAGTTACTACAGGGCCAGCGTAAACAAAAAATGTATTTTAATGAACAAGCTCTGGGTCAGTGGTCGACACATTGTTACCATACACTCTGTTTTCGCGAAATTGTTGAGGTGGCTTAGCTGCTTTGGAGAGTAATTTCAGAGTTGAGGATTGTGTCGTAGAGATTGCTGGAGTTTTGCCATGACTTTTCATGACTTTTCCATAAGGGATGGAATGGGTTACTGATTAGGCGACAGCGGTTTTTTTACACAAGCGCAGTCGTAATTGATGTGGTGTAAAATTAACGAATTCCTTGTTGTTAAGACCAAAAAAGAAAAATCCGCATATATCGGCTCGTCTTCTTTCCACTAAGAGGGTCGATACGACAACACCCAAATTCACCACTTATTCAATTACCCCTTTTCTTCAAATATAATTGCACAAATGGCAATGGACGTGGGAGTTTCTACGATAATTCTTTCATAGTTAACCGAAGATCTGATTCAAGTAGGGTTTCTAGTAATTCATCGTTAAAATTCGTTTTTCATCCTACCTTCGCTGCTCAAATTAGATCTATTAAACCAAAATTGACGTCGGTGAACTGTAGGGCTAGAATTTTTAACCTAAGTTTTCGTAGCTTCGCATGTATACAAGGTCTAGCGTGTTCTCTACTTGCTTTTCAGTTGGAAATTTTTTCCCAAAAAATAAAATAACTCATGACCACAAATAATACTGAAAAATTTTTCTGTGTACAAACTGAATTCAAACATCCATTAGTATTCATTTATTTATTTATTTATTTATATCGAGGGGG